GACTGCGTCGTCGTAACCATCAACGGCACAGAAGTTGCACCGAAGCTAGCAGTGGCCTCCGCCTACTTTGCCGGGGAGGAGGCCTGTCCACCGCCAGGAATACCCGGGCTAGTGGACCACTGCCGGACGAACAAGATCCCCCACATCATAGGATGTGATGCCAACGCACATCACGTGATCTGGGGTAGAACGGATGTCAACAACAGAGGTGAGCAATTACTAGAATTTATTTTAAACAATAACCTAGAGATCTGTAATGTCGGCGCCAGGTCGACATTTGTTACTAGGGTACGAGAAGAGGTGCTAGACATAACTCTAGTAACCAATTCTTTTAAACCCCACATTAAGAACTGGCATGTGTCACCAGAAGAATCAATGTCCGACCACAGGACAATTTTGTTTGAAGTAGCCTTCAAAACAAAAAGATGTAACCCTAAAAGAAACCCCAGAAAAACAAACTGGGACAAATTCAGGTCAACTCTAGAGCTCAATCTTTCCAACGAACCGTCAGGATACCCTAGACATCCCTTGGAATTAGACAGAGCGGTAGACAACCTGGGCCACAAGATAGTAAATGCCTTTGAAGACAGTTGTCCTCTAGGCAGACAGAGGCGGGAAACAGATGCACCATGGTGGAATGCCAATCTTGAACGACTACGAGTAACCACTCGGAAGCTCTTCAACAAACCAAAAACTGATAGAAACTGGGAACTATACAGGCAAAGCCTGACGCTCTACAACAAAGAGATCAGGAAGGCCAAACGGAAAAACTATAGGAACTTCTGTGAGGCAATAAGTAAAGTCAACGAGGGCGCGAGACTGCAAAAAGCAATGGCTAAAAGTGCAGCGGATAGTAATTTAGCCCTGAGGAAAGGGAATAACACCTTCACCTCTACGGATCGGGAGAAATTAGAATTGCTATTTGACACGCATTTCCCGGGGAATACTCCCACTATGGGAAACGCAAGGCGTGATCAACATAGAACCCCTAGGACAGTAGCCAGTGACTGGGCAGCAGCCAAATCTATAGTTACGTCCGAGAAACTCAAATGGGCTATTGGAACCTTCCAACCATTTAAATCACCGGGATTAGACATGATCTCTCCAGCTTTCTTACAGCAGGGGCAGGAACTACTCCTAACCCGCCTAAGAAGACTAATGGTGAGCAGCCTAGCCCTTGGGTATATCCCAAGTGCATGGTGCAGCGCTAGGGTGGTCTTCATCCCCAAGATCGGGAAGAAAGACATCACCAGCCCAAAGTCCTTCAGACCTATCAGCTTAACTTCGTTTTGTCTTAAAACGCTGGAAAAACTGGTAGACTACAACATCAGAAGAACAGCTCTCAGAGACTGTCCGCTGCAAAACACACAGCATGCATATAGAGCAGGCCGTTCAACAGACACTGCACTTTATCAACTATGTCGCACCCTAGAAGGGGCAATTGACAGCAAAGAAATAGCTATCTGTGCCTTTCTAGACATAGAGGGAGCCTTCGACAACACATCACATGATGCAGCATGCATATAGAGCAGGCCGTTCAACAGACACTGCACTTTATCAACTATGTCGCACCCTAGAAGGGGCAATTGACAGCAAAGAAATAGCTATCTGTGCCTTTCTAGACATACAGGGAGCCTTCGACAACACATCACATGATGCAGTTCGAGCTGCCCTGTCCAGAAGGAACATAGACACTACTACGAGCAAATGGATTGGCAACCTACTTGAATCCAGGCAAGCAACATGTACACTGGGTTCGGAAAGAGTGACAATTGCTACCAGCAAAGGCTGCCCGCAAGGAGGAGTACTGTCCCCTCTGCTATAGAGTCTGCTAGTAGATGACCTTCTCAGCAAACTTGCTGGAAAAGGAATTCAATGTCAGGGATACGCCGATGACATCGTGATAATCGCCAGAGGCAAATTTGAAGCGACACTCTGCGACATCGTCCAACTCGGACTGAGGACAACGCTGGACTGGTGCAGGGAGGTTGGACTCAACTTAAATCCTGCTAAGACACTCATCGTTCCTTTCACAAGGAAGTACAAACTACAGAGAATGAGACAAATCTCACTGCTAGGAACTCCTATAGAAACTAGCCGAGAGGTTAAATATCTAGGAATCACTTTAGATAGTAAACTGACTTTCGCTTCCCATGTCCAAAAGACATTGGAAAAGTGTTACAGAGCACTCTACACCTGTCGGAAAATTTCTGGGAAATCCTGGGGAACCAGGCCTCAGATAATACGATGGCTATACTTAATGATCGTGAGACCAATCCTCACTTACAGAGCACTTGCATGGGGCAAACGAGCTAAGCTCATCAGCATGCAAAACCAGCTAGGAAAACTACAAAGACTTGCATGCGTATGCATGACAGGGGCAATGAGGACCTGTCCTACAACTGCCTTAGAAGTTTTGATGGAGCTAACACCACTCCACTATGTGATTGATATTCAACGCAAAGCTACACTCCTGAGAATAAGCACTGAGGGCACAGGTAGTGGTTGCATTTTAAATAACAGGGATGCGACTAATCTGTTAGGTGAGGTGCCCCTAATACTCCACCCTAGGGATGAAATGACAGCCGAACTAATCTTCGAGCAGAACTTCACAGCACACCTAGGCAATAAGAAAGATTGGACCACACTTTCCGAAGTGCACCCGATGGCTAAACACACCATTGCATGGTACACAGATGGATCCCTGACACAACAAGGCACGGGCCTTGGAGTGGTAGGGCCTCGCATAAAATACCACGAATCCCTTGGCCAATACACCAGCATATTCCAGGCTGAGGTATGTGCCATTGGACGTTGTGCAGAGCTCAACATACAGCGTGGATACAAGGAAAAGGACATATCGATCCTTTCGGACAGCCGAGCAGCAATTACTGCTTTACATAGCAACAAAATCACCTCGAAGCTAGTCCTAGAGGTGAAGAGTAAGCTAAATATACTGGGCAGCCGAAATAGGCTGGCCCTCAGATGGATTCCGGGACATAAGGATATATCCGGAAATGAACTTGCCGATAAAATGGCAAAACTAGGAGCCGAACAGCCCCTGGTAGGCCCAGAGCCCTACTGTGGCATAGGGAGGCACACTATAAAAGAATACCTTAGGAAAGTGGAAGGCGCTATGAGACAAGAACACTGGAGAAATACCCCAGGCCTAAGGCAAGCCAAAACTCAAATAAATAACTATAACAAGAAGAGGTTCAAGGAACTTATTCAACTGGGGAAAAATTCACTTAGGATCGTTACCGGATTACTAACCGGGCACTGTAGACTGAAAAGTCACCTAGGTAAGATAGGAATAACCAGCAGTAGAACTTGCAGATTCTGAGACATAGAGGACGAAACCTCTAGACACATAATTGCAGACTGTCCGGCGTTAGCAAGTATAAGATGTAAAATCTTAGGAACCAGAACTCTTACACCTGAGCTCCTAGGAAGAATCAACCAACTAAAACTCCTCGACTTTATTCGAGGAAGTGGGTTGATATCTGAGCTGTAGGCTCTGAATGGGGGTACAATAGATCTTACAGGTCGCGGTACACTGGACACCCCGATATTAATAATAATAATGAAATTCATAAGCCCGCTCGGAAAAACTTTAGACGCCGAAAATTTGTTCAAAAAGGGATAAATGATACGTGGCAAATTGATTTAGTCGAAATGATAACGTTTAGTAAAGAAAATGGAGGTTTTAGATATTTACTGACCGTTATTGATACGTTTTCAAAGTATGCCAGCATGATTGAGTAAAAGACAAGACTCTATGTATTTTTTTTACAATTAAACCATCTTCTAACCAAAGTTGAAGCTGTTTTAAATGAATTATGTATTCACTTTTATTAGTTAGGTCAGCAATCAACTTTCCTTGCTTACCCCCTGGCGGAACTTTATTTTCTGGACAGAAAGGCAGGTAGTTATGTAGGTCATGTCGATCGGAAGGGTACTCTAGATCAACTTCTAGCATATATCCTATATTACCATCAACAGATATATTTTTATAGTCAAAAGATTCTACTTCTTCTTTGTCTAAAAACTTAAACCCTGAAAGCGGTAAGGGCTGACTCATAGCCCATCCATATAAATTATTTGCATCGATATAACTTAGAAAATTTATTGGTTTTATGGGATCAAAGCTTTTTAAATATTTATTATTGGCTATGGAAATACGCTGAGTACATTGAGTTAACCCACATCGTACTGCTCTTTTTAAAAAATTGTACATATCACCATCGCTTATTAGTTCTAATTGTACATTAGTAAATTTAAGCATTGCATCCCATGATATTGATGGTGCGGTAACATAATTTACGGGGTCCAACTTGTATATCTGTTGACAAATTTTTCTAAAATTTTCAAATACATCGGCCAAAATTAAAACATCACTTTCTAAATAAAGTTTTAAATAATCTTTTATGGTCTGACAGTTGAAAGATTCCCAAACTTTTAGTGCAAAATTATAATCGTCTATACTACATTTTTCGTCACTGAGAGAATTATAAAACCTATCAATACTAGGAAGTTGTGTCTCATTAAATTTCTCTGTGCTATCTATATAGTCATACGGGAACACATTCATCCTCCTCATTTGCTTAAATTGTTCTCCCTCAAATTTTGTACTAAGAATTTTAAAATCTTTGTCTTTCATAGAGCTCGCTAGTTTTTCCAAGCTTGAGTTTAAAAATCTAACTGAATCTATGTATCTAATTTTATATCTATTTGTGCTGTTAATATTTATTGTCTGCGTTAGTGCTATATATAGTTTTTATTACAAGGTATTGGACTTAATTCCCCCTCTAGTTTTGTAATGAACAAATGTAGATCGTATTTCGATAAGTTATGAAAAACTACTGGGAAGAATGGATCACTTAAGTTGTACTTAGGCTTACAATTCTTATGAATAGGACCTACGTATTGTCCAGTAAATTGGTTGTAGCATTTATCCAGATCGCACGCATTTATTTCCACCTCACAGGCGGTGCAATTACCTTCTTGGGCGCGAACATCTATGGGGCTGACACTCGGTTTCTTGGGGGTTGACCAATATATGTTGTACAGACTCGAAGTTTTTTGTTTCAGAGCTGTACAAAATTTTTGCATGCAATCATCACCTGAAATTTTGATAAATTTTAAATAAATAAATCATTTAAAAAAATCTAAGGGTTAATTAATTTGTAATATAGTTTTTTCTATTTACCGTCGTATGTCCACAAGTCATTTTAACTAGGATTATATTTGTGTACAACATAAAATGATACTGCACAGGCAGTATGCTTCTGTACTTTTGTTGTTGACGAAGATGATGGTGAATTTAGGCATGTTCTGTAACTTTCCAGAACAGCCTCAATATCGGAGGAGATAATTTCTTGTGGTATCCTTTAAACGACGTTTTTGTGTTAGGCTCTGGATAAAACGAAGCCACTTTTCCTCATTCAAATTTGTTGTGAGTAGTGTTTTTAACGTGATAACACTGAAGACAATTTTCACAAAAGTATCCTCCCGATTTGGCTTTGGAAAATTTTGATGAACATAATGTAAACACATTTGTTATATAGGCGTAGTGCATCGTATTTTGGTGTATATTATCGATACCCAATATATTTATGTGGTTTTGTCTTCTTTCTTTTGTTTGAACAGTTGGTCCAATAATTTTTTCGCCAGCTTCATCAATTTCATAAATGTTTATGCTGAAGTCCGCATTATTTTTCTCAAAGTGTTGTACACCAAGTTTATCGATTGGAAATATAATTCCTGAAAAATTCAACGTTATTCCGTCATATATAATAATTTCATCATTGATGTTAATGTTGTAGTTTTTTGGTTTTGTCATTTTTTCTGTTGAATATTTCGGGAAGTTTTATTTCGTTTATTTAGACACATGTCCATTGGGTTAGAGTACTTTATTTAAACTAAAAATTGGTTCTTGTCTTGCGGGTATATAAAGGCGGAAGCCCTTGCAAACTCACTCCCAGTCGATTAAAAAAAACTCATTCAATCATGAACACTTCAAGTCGAAATTCAAGCATTATAGTAGATTTTCAATATTTACTCGGAAACAATAAACAAGTTTTTGTTAAGGAACTAGCATTCATGCCGACTGGAACTGCGACACCTAATTTCTTTCATTTTAAACCGCCGTTTAATATCAAAGAATTGGATAATGAGACTCTTAAGCAACAACACATAAATCAGCGAAATATAAATGGATTGGATTGGTCAGCTGGTGATATACCGTATACATGTCTTGAAGATATACTTTCACCACTTAACAAGTATCAAACAGTTTATGTTCGGTGTGAAACAAAGAAAAGATTTTTAACCAAATATTTATCAACTAACATAATCGATGTAGATATTGGATAAAGTTTAACTTAATTACCCAATTTTTTCACTAATTGTACAATACATAAGTAAAAAATTCCACTACGATGTTCATTAAATAATTTGTTTAAGCTTTTTGTATTCTTAAAAAACTCTAATTATGAAATATATAGTAATGGTGACACATCCGTTTAAGATTTAGTAGAAAATAATTAGTGGACCCAACCTGATCGTTAACTATGGATTCCCTTAAAAAAATTGTTGGAAATGATCCCCGCAAAAAGGGATGCATGCAGCTTATATATTGTATTTATTGCGCATCTGATACTCATTTCGAGAAGAACTGCGCCAAGAAACGCGATCAAGAAAAGCATAAAAAAGCTTAGTGTAATAAAAATAAATAATATAATATCCTATTATAAACAAAAATTAAGTAAAACACTTTTATATTAATCTTGAATAAAATAATTAAAAAAAAAAATATATATATATATATATATACCTAAAACTAAAAAATGTTTACACAATTTATACATCCATTCACAATGTTAAGTTGCGGGCCCTCTGGATCAGGAAAAACAATATTTTTAGAAAACCTGATTTCCAAGAAGAATGATCTTTTTAATATTTCAATTGATCGAATTATTTGGTGTTATGGGGAGGAAAGTGCTAAACCAAATTTTAGTAATATTGAATACTTTAAAGGAGTTCCTGAAACAATCGAAAACGAAATTAATGAGCCTATTCTATTGATTCTAGACGACTTGATGATGGGTGCCTTTAACAAAAATGTTTGTGAACTGTTTACGAAAGGATCACATCACCGGAATTTATCAGTTGTTACTCAAAATATATTTCATAAATCATCGCAAACCCGTGAAATTTCACTAAATACCAAATATATAATAGCTTTTAAAAATCCCCGAGATAAGCTTCAATTTAAATGTTTGGCAAGACAAATTTATCCAGAAAACCCAACAGATTTATTTAGAATATATAAAGAAGTAACAGAGCAACCCCACGGATATTTACTTATTGATCTCACTCAGGGAATTAACGATCTCTTACGATTTAGATCAGACATTTTTAATTCTGAGTATACGGTGTGCTATTCCGAAGAAAATGGTTTACAAAAAGAATCTTAATCGCTTGAAAGCGAACAAACATATATTGTATGTGCTCAAAAAGGCTAGCAATAAACTACGAAAGGCAATAATAAACAATAGCGATAGTGAACTGGTAAAAACAATAGTGGAAATAGTTTTGAACACACTACGAGGAAATCATAAGGTTACTAAAACGCATCTAAATTCACTAAAAAAGTATAAAAGTGCATTGCGCTACCTTTCATGTCCAAAGCGCACATTAAACTCTAAGAAAAAAGTTCTTATTCAAAAAGGTGGATTTTTACCTATTCTACTAAGTTCGTTGCTCTCAGGAGTTTTTGGAAAAATTTTAAAAAATGATTAAAAACAAACATAGTTAAAAAAAAGTAATTTTAATGAACCCCCACACCTTTCAAAAATTAATAAACAACTCTCGAGGAAATGAATTGATAAGTACAAAATTTTCACCAATTTTAAATAATAACAAAATAAGTGATTTTGATAAATGGCTTAAAATTAGGCAAGAACTTAGTTTCTATCAAAATAAAAAACGTAACAAATCATGTAATATTCAAAATTAACAAAAATCGCCATTTATGTCAACCAAAACAACTGAATCGCAAACTACAGATTGCTTTGATAAAAGACCTACGACTTCTGAATTAAAACCAAAGACTGATGCGACACTTGGGTCCCCAGAAAGTGATGATGAAGATTTTAAATCAAACAAAATTCCTAATTCTGTTAACGTTCAACAAAAGTTTAAGTCTGATGTATCACTTCCAAAAAAGATAGAGTTCATGGACTTACCTACCGAGAGTGATGGAGAAGAAAACACGAAATTTATTGAACGTTAAACGAAAAATAAGAGATACTTCGTTTTCAGACGAAAAAGAGGATATAAAAAAACTGGCAGTACCAAAAATAAAGCTTAGTGATCAACAACGCAAATTGAGAGTTAAGCTAAAAAAAATTAAAGCGGTTTCATTACCATTTCAAGATTTAAAATATATAACAGGACGAGAAAAGTTGTCTAGATCGGTTCGAACTAAGCCGGAGCAAATAGGGAAAAACAAATTTAATTGGATATCTTATCAATAACAGAAATTTCAATATAAAGATGTGTTATTCAAATGAGTTGTTTGTCACATTGCTTGGTAATGATTCAATGAATGTATTTCCTGATTATGTAAAATGTGCAATTACAAATATTGTAAATATACCACAAGACATGAATGAATACTGGGAGGTAGGCATTACGGACATATATCTGAATAATTACATTTACAAAACAACTACTAAAGAAAGAAATATAGCTGAAGAAACTGAATTTGTTAGCTTAGTAAATGCTGAAACATTTAGATACTCAAATGTTCCTGTTGAATCTAAAATACCTGAAAATGGATTGATTTTTATTTATACTGACATAATCAAACCAAGGTCTGTAGGTTGTAAAAGACCTCGATGTCTTCGTGTAATGCATTATAATGGAAAAGAAAGAAATATTCAATTTAAAAATATTGAATATTATCCTTTAGATATATGGTCTCCGAACGAAATCTCAATACTAATTACTGATTCAAATGGATATAAGGTTTCTTTTGAAACTTCAGCTGTTCCGATTTTTGTAACTCTACACTTTAGAAAAAAAAGAAGGTTAAACCTATAAATAATACATACCCCAATGATGTTAAATGAGAACAAGAATAGTCATCATGGTGAAATCTTATCACGAATATTATGTGAATCAGTGCGGTGCCGGACTAAATAATATTGGCAGTCTGTATGTGTCTCCACGAATTATTCAGCAAGGACGAGGAATTGGAAATTTTTTTAGCGGTCTTTTTAATTATATAAAACCTCTTTTCCTTTCGGGTATAACTGCTATAAAAAATCAGGCTGCAGAGACTGGTAAAGCAGTAATAAATGAATTTGGCCGAAAGCCTTAAGAAATATTATTCAAGAACAGAGCAAGATTGCGTTAACAAATCTCTCAAATAAAGCAATTAATAAAATGACACGCTCTCAAAATGGTAGCGGAAAAAGGAATAAAAAGCGCGGGTCGAGAAAAAATCGTTATCATTTAACTTCTAAACGACAAGGTAAACATACCCACCACCATCAAAAAGGAAAAAAAAAATCAAGGAAATTGAATATTAGTGATATTTTTTCTAAAGTAAAATGAGTAACCATATTGAATGTATGAAAAGCGAACTAGATTTGTTTACACCACACCCTACGCAAAGTTCTATTCTAAGAACTGAAGAAGTCTCATACAATCCTATTGCATCCTTGGACGGCGCCTCCTCAATTGAATTTGTTTGCTTGGGAAATGGTGAAACATATCGAGACTTATCAAGTGTTTATTTACGGCTTGTGGTGCAACTCAAAAAAAAATGATAATAACGTCATTGAAGGAAACGCTGTCGGTGTAGTAAAAAATATTTTACATTCAATATTTAGAAGTTCCTCAGTTTATTTAAATAACATATTAGTATCGCAGAGTGATAATAATTATCATAATAGAGCTTATTTGCAAACAATTTTAAACTATGGGAGTGATGCATCAGAAAGCCACTTGGCTTCCCAAGGCTATTTCCCGAATTTTGGAAGATTAACAGCAGGAAAATACGTTTATCCAGCCAATAATGAAACTCTGAAAAATATTTTCCAAAATAGTAATAAGGTCGAATTATTCGGAAAAGTTCATGGTGATATTTTTAACCAAAGCAAACTGCTTCTTAATAATGTAGATCTAAGAATTAATTTTAACATTGAAAAAACAGCATTTTATTTAATGGAAAATGAAACTGAATCAAATTTAAAGATACTAGAAGCACAACTCTTTATGAATCATATAACAGTTAACCCAAGCATTTTATTGGCTCATCATCATGTTTTACAAACAAAAAATGCTTTATACCCATTCAGTAAAGTTGAAGTCAAATCTTTTACAATATATCCAGGCAACAATACACTATCGATAGATAACGCAGTTATTGGGCAACTACCCAATTTCTTGGATTTTAGTATGGTTAAAAACCGCTCATACTCAGGAAACCGAGGCTTAGATCCATTT